CTCTGGGTGGTCTCACTCACATGCCGGGCCTGGGCTCTGGGTCTCTTCAGGATCTGGCAGGCCTGCGCTCTGGGTCTATTTAGGATCTGAGGGCTCTCAGTTGTCTCACTCACTCGCCGTGCTTTGCTCTGGATCTGTTCGGGATCCCATGGCCCTGGTTGTCTCACTCACTCGTCAGGCCAGCACTCTGGGTCTACTTAGGATCCGGTGGCAGGCCCAGGTCGTCTCACTCACTGGGCCTGCGCTCTGGGTCTATTCAGGATCCGACGGCTCTGGGCAGTCTCATTCACTCGCCAGGCCTGGGCTCTGGGTCTATTCAGGATCTTAACTTGCATTTTTTGAATGACCAATGATGTTGAACATTCTTTTATATCTTTTCCATTTGTGTTTCCTCATGGGAGAAGTGTGTGTTCATCTCATATGCCCATTTTTGATTGGGTCTTTGAAATATGGAAGCCTCATTTTTTTTTTCATTCTTTATATGTTCTAAATAGAAGTCCTTTGTCTGAGGGACAGTCAGCTAAAATTTTACCCCTTTCATGGGTTTTCTTTTTACTCTGTTGGTGCTTTCTTTTGATGCGCAAAAACTTTTAGTGATATCCTAGTTGTTGATTCTTTGAAGTATTTCCTATGCAGTTTGGTTTTTGTTCATGAACTTTCTGCCTACACTTCTGTCTTCAAGATGCCCATCTTCTTTCTCCTCCAGTAGAATTAGTGTTTCTGTTTTAATATTTAGATCTTTGATCCATTTTTACTTTATTATATAGTGATAGACATTGGTCTGAGACAAACTCAATGCTTTTATAGATAAATGGATGCAACTATACTCATAAGTCAAATAAGTCAGACCCACATATATAAACATTGTATTGTCCCCCTAGTGTAAGAATCTGAAAGAGTAAACAAAATACCAAATGTACAATAGATACTGTGAAAAGAAATGAAACTGCTTAAAGGGAACAGTTGAGATGAGGGAAAGAAAGAAGGGGGGAAATATGTGTGTGTGTGTGTGTGTGTGTGTGTGTGTGTATACACACAGTTTTGCTGCAAAACTTGAACTGCTAATTTCTTCTAGTCTATTGAAAGGAATAGTTAATGTTTTTTTCTTTTTAAATTAACCAATTTTGTATGATTATATCTAGTAATCTGAGCAACTAATTTGAAGACCATATGCAATATAGCAATCATTGTTGAATTCACATCATCTTGTTTAATGAAATTCTGTCTAATTTTTTTATGTTTTCTCTTTTTTAAAAATTGAAAGAAAATGAGAAAGGGGGAGAGAAAGACAAAAACAAAAGATGACCTATTGAAATGTAATTACACTTTAAAAGAACAACAAAATTGATGAAAAATTCCAAATTCTACCAAAAAGTTTAGTCAAAAGAAGGGAGAAAAAAGAAAAAAACAAGTTTCCAGTCTTTAATCCAACATGTCACATTCTTTGCCTCTCTTCATAGCCTGTGGGCTTGTTAGGGGACTCTCTGTTCAAGATGCCCCCATCTGTACACCCATTTATGCCAACTGTCCAAGCTGAGACCTAAGCCCAGGAAAGGTGTAGGGCTTTGGATTCTGAGGTAACCAGACATGGATTCCTGCTTGATGGGGACCAACACTGGGTACCTGATATATATTCTAGTGTCCATTGTATCGGCTCATGATGCCAGATCAAGGCTCATGCCAGCCTGAGACACCAAGTGGAAATTTGGGTGTGCCTGGTTTAGTATGGGGAAATTCTGGCCTGCCCAGAGAGGGTGCGGGGTGGATTCAGGGCACTGCATAGAATCTCATGGGGGTTTTGGTACTGGGCAAATCAGGCCAACCTTTAGTCCTTCAAAAGACCAACCTAATACACCAGATGAAGACTGTCCAGGACTGTGGCTAGATGCAACCAGGAAGTGTGGTGCCTGGTACTGAATGGATGCTCCAGCAGGCCCAGTGCAGCAGGTGGAGACTCTTTATGAGACTGAAACTACCTGTGGAGACCTAGACTGCCTAAGATTAGTGCTGGATGTCAGGTAGAATCTCCAGTGGGTCTAGGGGTGACATAGGGCAATGAGTACTAGATGAGAACTCAAGCCGTGTCAGGTGTCAGGCAGACATTCACATGTGACCAGTGTTAGCTCTCTGTGCCATATAAAGGTCCTAGCTGATGTGGGACAGATTTGAGGTACCCCACAGTGACTTAGTTGTGCTGAGGCCAAACTTGATGACTGCAGATACACGCACTGGGTAGAATCGTGGATGCTGTTCTCTTGTTTGTCCTCTTACCACTTGTGAATGGGTAAATAGCGAGAGCCCCTGGTATGTGCTGACAAGGATACTGAGAGCTGCATCCTCCTTGGTGTATAGAGAGGGCATGATAGAATAAAGGGACTGTATACCCAAGTCTATTCTGGGAGACTAGACTCTGCCACACTCCTTGGTTCCCTCTAGCTATTTGGGAGATTCTCACTGTTCCTGCGATGGCCTTGCAAACAGGCCCTGGAGGGCCTCTTCCCCCTTTTTAAATTTCTACATGTACATTTTTATTTAATCTTCAAGTATCTTTTTTCAAATTGGTTTTCTGTGTCAGGGTATATGTCCCTCACCTGTTTAGTTACCTCTGTTTTTAGTTGATCTGCAAGTCCCTGTGATGTGATGATTCCTCTATTCACCCATGTTGGATCTCCCCAATTTATATGTTTTTTAAATATAGAAAGTTTTAAAGTGATTTGTATTATTATTGCACAGAAAGTACACAATATTTTGGGGTTTTTTTTTGAGACATCTCACTGTGTAGGTTAGACTAACCTTGAACTCAATATGTACCTCAGGGTATCCTTGAACACTTGATCCTTCTGCCTCATCTTCCAAAGTGCTGGGATTACAGGTGTGTACACCATGTCTAGTGAATGGCTATTTTGTGGGTTTGGGTATTTTTGTTTCCTTTTACCACTGGGAATTGAACTCAAGGCCTTTGCACTGAACCCTATCCACAGTCCTTTATTTTATAATTTTTTATTTTGTACAAGTTCTTCTAAGTCAGTGTTTTACCCAGAATGGACTCAAACTTGCCATCCTCTTCCCTCAGCCTCTTAGAGTGCTGGAATTTCATGTATATACCATCACACCCAGCTATCCTAAAATGAAATTTGAACAGAAACCATTGGTAACTCACTTGTTTTTTTTTGTTTGTTTGTTTGTTTGTTTGTTTT